AGTTATTTAGCAAAGATCACAACCAAATATAATCTTAGCGACTGTTCAAGCAAGAATCAAAACATTATTGTAAGCGTATGAGAACCCCCCAAAAAAAGTTATTTTGTTTAGAAGTAATAAAAACGTAAATCTAGGCAATGTTGAATGGGCGCAGATGGCGATGGCTTTCATACTGTCGCCAAGAGTCGCATGCATCTGTTCATGACGTCAGAGTGTCGTGTACTGGAAAAGGTATATAAGTGCACTTAAATGGTTCAAAATGGGAAACACTGCCCTTCCAAGCGCTAGGGCTGCTGAATCAAGTGCACCTAACAGCGCAAAACAAATTTTAAAAAATAGGAACGCAAGGCTTTAATGCTTGGGTTTTTTATAGAAATATTCGGTTATCGACTAGGAATGCCTTGGAGATCGACCAGTCGACTGTTTGGTGACCACTGGTCTAGAGAGACTAGTCTCTTCTCGCAAAACAAATTTACGAAGGAGTGGTCACTAAAGTAGTTGAAATGGTAGGTATAAACAAAGTAGTTAAATTAGTTATTGGATAGTTCATGGGTAGTTGAACCTACTTTGTCCACAGACTGTGGTGATGTAATGTGCAGAGAGGGCCACGAAGGAGGAGTAGAATGGCTCATACTGTTTATCATGGTGCAGGATCTCAGATTCACTGCAATGACATGGAAAATGAGGAGGGAGGGTCATTGCAAAATACACAACAAATGCATTACAAAAGTACAGTTTAACTCACAGTCAAGAATAGTACTGTGTTGCTGTTGAGAAGATTTTGTAAAAAAAATAAAAAAAATTAAGACAAGTGAATGCTGTGGTTTAGAGTCTTCTGGAACACCAGGTCCATCGGTTTCACATATTTGGTTGTATGTTTTGTTGTCATTTGACTACAATGAATTTATAGCTTCAAATTATAATGTCAGAAATTCAATAGACTGTCAGTTATTGCATCCAGAGATGCATCTATGAATCTGAGTGGTTTCTCCAGCCCCCTCCCTGAGCTGCTGTTGCACATATTTGATCTATCCCAAAAACCACAACACCTGACTTGACTAATCAAGGGCTTGATGGTTAGTTAACTAGTAGTCAAATCAGGTGTGCTAGTGTTGGGATAGATCAAATGTGTGTGCAATGGCAGTTCTGCCATTTCAGTTGATGGATGGGGATGGAGAAATCAAAACCTCTCAAATTCATAGATGCAGCTCTGGATGCTAGGACTGACAGACAGTTCAAGACAATGACACGATAACAAATGTTCTACAAACTTTGAAGCTATACAGTTCAGTGTACTCAAATGACAACACAAAAATGTTGTACTATTAGCTAGCTATACTTTATGATAAGGTTTGATAGTTGCACTAAGCTCATTAGACTTGACACATAAGGCATTTAACAGTAGAACGTTAACTGATAAGCTTCAAGAATCAATGGGTGTATCAACGACTGAAGTGACCATTGAACTGTAAGAAATATCCCAGATTGTAGCTCGCTGTTGACAGTCCTTTGGGCTAACGTTAACTACCTAACTCAGAACGGATCAAGGAGTGCAAAGTCAAGAAATGTTGTAGTTAGCCCACATCAAATGACATTTGAAACGATTACATCAACAGCTGTGTCAACTCGTGATGTTGACATATCTATCTATTCCGTTCAAAAACAATAATGCCACAGGCTAAGCTTTCGTTTTCGATTCTTGCGATACTAAAAATGTTGCTAGTTCGTCAGCTGTGGTTAGCAAAAGCCTCAACTAAGCAACGTAACGTTAGCTAACATTACAGAAGCTCGCTAAGCTACAATGATTGGCTTGGAATCTGGCTGGTTTATTGTCATGCAAATACGACAAACTCTTCCGAATTCAGTTATGGTTTTACAGCAATGTTTAATTCAACGTAAACTGCAGTATACAGTGGCAGGGATCTGTTTTAGCTAGCTGGCACGTAACGCTACACACCCTTTTCGACCTGATGATGAAGCAGATTCCTACTGGACATATTACCCTAGCTAGCTAGCAAGCTACACTAACGCGAAGCACTATTGCAAATCAGCTGAGTGAAAAAGCTAGCGAAGTTAGCATGCTAGCCAGCTGTTATATTCAGCTCTTTCTCGTCAACAGAGCGCTGCATTTCGCAGACAGGGACGATTTTTACCTATTTATTATGGATCCTATAAGCTGAGGTAGCTCTTTCGTTTCAAAGGCTGTGTACGAAGCTGATAAAAGCGGCGGTACAGCAGCAGTCCATTTCGGTTCCCCATCTCCTCCACTCGACGCCATCTTGAGATTCCGTACCAGACAAGCGAGCGATACTTTTCCAACAACCTCCCTTCAAAGGAAATTAGGTTAATCACCCGATTCAAAATAACAGGAAGTGTCGACATAGATATAATAAATCAAAGAAGCGCTTTAATAAAGGGCTATAATAAACTACTACAATAAATTAGTACGGTCATTTCGTAGATAGATGTAGAAAGTATAGAGAGAAGTATAGAAAATAAAGACAGTGAAAGAATTGCTATTATTTCTTTATAGCACAACCAAACATCACTTGTAAGCCTACTTTGTAAAGAGAAAAAAATTGAAGAAATACTTTCAGAAATAGTCATCATTTTATTGAGAGCATTGGCGTTTTTGTGAAAATGTGTTGCACGAGCAGAGTTGTCCATTCACCCCAAAAAGGAAAAATGAATACTCTGGAGCGCCTTACTAAACCATGTTTTTAAGACATAAATATATATAATTCAAACTATAAATTTACACACAAAAGCCATGGGGGAAAATATTAGTTAAGAGTAATCATGTGGACACAAAACTTCCAGTGCATCAAAGAAAGACTTAAAAAGACCAACACTGCTGGCCTCAGAGGCAGATGACCCAAAAAACGAACCCCTCAGTACACCCACACCACCCACCCTAGTTCATTATCTGTCATAGGGCTGGTCTTCAAGTATCTGTGCCACAAGCACGGTGAACATACCCTTTGGCACACATAAAAAAAGATCTATGGAAAACATTTAAAACCAAATTAACAAAAGTAATCAAAATCCCCTCAAAATCTGTACCACATTTAGTAATCTTAGACCAGGCCTAATCTTAAAACTTTTTAGTAATATTTCAGAGCTAAACAATGTTTCAGTATAAGAACACTTGCTCTGAGATGCACCAAGTAACCACTGACTGCTCTTTCGGTGTGGTAAAATAACATTTCATTGCATGAAAAGCACTTTATATTGCTATCCTTTAAGGGATGTTATAAAGGGTTTAGAAGTGGTTTATAGACAGTTAATTATTTGTTAATAGCAATGAAATACAGTGCCTTCAGAAAGTTTTCATACCCCTTGACTAATTCTACATTTTGTTTTGTTACAGCCTGAATTCGAAATTGATTAAACACATGACAGTGAAAACATGTTAAGAATTTCTTGCAAATTTCTTGAAAATTAAATACAGAAATCTAATTTACATAAGTATTCACACCCCTTTGCTATGACACTCCAAATTGAGCTCAGGTGCATCCAATTTCCTTTGATCATCCTTGAGATGTCATTACAACATGATTGGAGTCCACCAGGGTCCAATTAAATTGTTTTGACATGATTTAGAAAGAAACACACCTGTCTATTTAATAATAATAATAATAATAATAATAATAATAAGCCATTTAGCAGACACTTTTATCCAAAGCGACTTACAGTCATGCGTGCATACATTTTTATGTATGGGTGGTTCCACAGTTGACAGCGCATGTCAGAGCAGAAACTATATCCTTAAGTCGAAGGAACTGTCTGTAGATCTCCGAGATAGAATTGTGATGAGGCATAGATCTGGGGAAGGGTACAAAACAATTTCTAGAGTATTGAAAGTTTCCAAGAGCACATCATTGGGAAATTGAAAAAAATGTGTTACTACCCAGACTCTGCCTAGAGATGGCCATCCGACCAAACTGAACAACCAGGGAAGAAGGACCTTGGTCAGGGAGATGACCAAGAGCCCAATGACCACTCTGACAGAACTACAGAGTTCCTTGGCTGAGATGGGAGAACCTGCCAGAAGGACAACAGTCTCTACAGCACTTCACTAATCTGGGCTTTATAGGAGTGGCCAGACGGAAGCCACTCCTGAGAAAAAGGCACATGACAGAACACCTGGAGTTTGCAAAAAGGCACGTGAAAGAGCATATGTAAAAAGATTGTGGTCTGATGAGACGAAAATGTAACTCTTTGGCCTGAAGGCACAGCTCATCACTCGTCTAACACCATCCCTACCGTGAAGCATGGTGGTGGCAGCATCATGCTATGGGGATGCTTTTCAGCGGTAGGGACTGGGAGACTGGTAAGGATAGAGGGAACAATGAATGGAGCCAAATACAGGCAAATCCTTGATGTGAACCTGCTTCAGAGTGCAAACGACCTTAGACTGAATCCCATTGAAAATCTGTGGAAAGACGTGAAGATTGCTGTTCACCGCTGCTCCCCATCTAACTTAACAGAGCTTGAGAAAATCTGCAAGGAAGAAAATCCCCAAATCCAGTTGTGCAAAGCTGATACAGACACACCCAAGACGACTCAAAGCTGTAATCTCCGCCAAAGGTGCTTCCACAAAGTATTGACTCAGGGGTGTGAATACCTATGTAAATGAGATCTGTATTTCATTTTCAATAAATTTGCAAACATTTCTAAAAACATGTTTTCACTTTCATTATGGGGTTTTGTGTGTAGCTGGGTGAGGGAAAAAAACCTAATCCATTTTGAATTCATGCTGTAACAACAAAATGTGGAATAAGTCAAGGGGTGTGGATACTTTCTGAAGGCACTGTAACTCCCCTTAAAGGCTACCTCAATGTAAAGTGTTACCAAATAAATTAAACAAACACAACATTTGAGGAAAATCTCGCAATCGAAATGAACCTCTTCCTTGAAAAAGAAACATGACCCCACCCCCCCCCCCAAACAGCAATGGGGAGGTCAGAGTTCAAAGGTCAGAAGTTCCCTCTTTACCGCCAGGCCCGGTTGAGCAGTTTGACCTGTGCCAGGCGTTTACTAATCATGGTGGCGAAGAACAGTGCGAACAGAACACTGCTGATCAGGACGTAATCATAGTCATCTTTCAGCACGTCAAACTGCTTGGAGGGGTACACTCTGGTTTGGTAGATGTCAAGACCGTACGCAACCACCTGTAACAAAACATACATTTCCATGTTAAATATTTAGTATTTTACCTACATTATAGTTGCATCTTCATTTCATCTACATTGGCTCTGCATTGTCAGTGTACCATGGCCTTGGAAGTGCAGAAGGAAGTCCAGACTTGATACATTGAAGATAATAAAGTGCAATAGACCAGTGTTTCCCAACCAGGAGTACTAAGACCTGGGGGTACTTGGCCTATCCCCAGGGGGTACTAGGATCCCTGGGGGTACTTGGCCTATCCACAGGGGGTACTAGGATCCCTGGGGGTACTTGGCCTATCCCCAGGGGGTACTAGGATCCCTGGGGGTACTTGGCCTATCCACAGGGGGTACTAGGATCCCTGGGGGGTACTTGGCCTATCCACAGGGGGTACTAGGATCCCTGGGGGTACTTGGCCTATCCACAGGGGGTACTAGGATCCCTGGGGGTACTTGGCCTATCCACAGGGGGTACTAGGATCCCTGGGGGTACTTGGCCTATCCACAGGGGGTACTAGGATCCCTGGGGGTACTTGGCCTATCCCCAGGGGGTACTAGGATCCCTGGGGGTACTTGGCCTATCCCCAGGGGGTACTAGGATCCCTGGGGGTACTTCACCTATCCCCAGGGGGTACCTAGGATCCACAGGGGGTACTTAAGAAGACTCATGAGACCATAGGCTTACTGGTCAAATGCACATGAGGGGGTACTTCAAGAGTACTCTGGGCAGAGCAAAATGTACTTGGTGGTACAGTAGCCGAAACAGGTTGTGAACCACTGTAATAGACCATAGACTCACCAGACATGTGGACTCCAGGCCAGAGGGGGCAGTGTAGATTCCTTTCACTCTCGATACGGTCTGATTGTAGTTGATGAACCACTCTGTGAGGATGGGCATCTCTGGGGCGTATGGTATAAGGTTCTCTTCACTGAAAATACATGATAAACCAATTCTTACTTTCATAGAGTTTCATATAGTGACAAGGAACCAGTATTCCTCTCTAAACGGTCAAATAACGTTGTAAACAACAGGGTCCTGTTCATTAGTACACAATGTCGTGTAGCTCAGTTGGTAGAGCATGGCGTTTGCAACGCCAGAGTTGTGGGTTCGTTTCCCACGGGGGACCAGTATGAAAAAAAATGTATGCACTCACTAACTGTAAGTCGCTCTGGATAAGAGCATCTGCTAAATGACTAAAATGTAGCAAAACATTTTGCAACAGAAAACAAAAATGTGCATTTGTTATTGGACAAGAACAGGTATTCCCTCCCAGTTTCAGTCAATTTTCTTCCTTTTGGTGCCTAA